CGAAATCCTGTACGAAATCCAGTCCGAAATCCCGTACAAATCGAAATCCTATACGAATCCCGTACGAATCAAATCCCGTACGAAATCCCGTAGGAAATCGAAATCCCGTCCGAAATCCCATACGAAATTCCGTCCGAAATCCCATCCGAAATCTCCGTCCGAAATCCCGTCCAAATCCCGTCCGAAATCCCGTACGAAATCCCGTACGAAATCCCGTACGAAATCCTGTACGAAATCCAGTCCAAAATCCCGTACAAAATCGAAATCCTATACGAAATCCCGTACGAAATCGAAATCCCGTCCGTACGAAATCCCGTAGGAAATCGAAATCCCGTCCGAAATCCCATACGAATTCCGTCCGAATCCCATCCGAAATCCTGTCCGAAATCCGTCCGAAATCCCGTCCGAATCCCGTACGAAATCCCGTACGAAATCCCGTACGAAATCCTGTACGAAATCCAGTCGAAATCCCGTACAAAATCGAAATCCTGTACGAATCCCGTACGACATCCCGTACGAAATCGCGTCCGAAATCTCGTCCGAAATCCCGTCCGAAATCCCTACGAAATCCCTACGAAATCGAAATCCCGTACGAATCCCGTACAAAATCGAAATCCTGTACGAAATCCAGTCTGAAATCCCGTACAAAATCGAAATCCTGTACGAAATCCCGTCCGAAATCCCGTACAAAATCGAAATCCCGTACAACATCCCGTACGAAATCAAATCCCGTACGAAATCCCGTAGAAATCGAAATCCCGTACGAAATCCCGTACGAAATCCCGTCCGAAATCCCGTCCGAAATCGCGTCCGAAATCCCGTCCGAAATCCCGTCCGAAATCCCGTACGAAATCCCATACGAAATCGAAATCCCGTACGAAATCCCGTACAAAATCGAAATCCTGTACGAAATCCAGTCCGAAATCCCGTACAAAAATCGAAATCCTGTACGAATCCCGTCCGAAATCCCGTACAAAATCGAAATCCCGTACAACAATCCCGTACGAAATCAAAAATCCCGTACGAAATCCCGAGGAAATCGAAATCCCGTCCGAAATCCATACGAAATTCCGTCCGAAATCCCATCCGAAATCCTGTCCGAAATCCCGTCCGAAATCCCGTCCGAAATCCCGTACGAAATCCCGTACGAAATCCCGTACGAAATCCTGTACGAAATCCAGTCCGAAATCCCGTACAAAATCGAAATCCTATACGAAATCCCGTACGAAATCGAAATCCCGTACGAAATCCCGTAGGAAATCGAAATCCCGTCCGAAATCCCATACGAAATTCCGTCCGAAATCCCATCCGAAATCCTGTCCGAAATCCCGTCCGAAATCCCCGTCCGAAATCCCGTACGAAATCCCGTACGAAATCCCGTACGAAATCCTGTACGAAATCCAGTCCGAAATCCCGTACAAAATCGAAATCCTGTACGAAATCCCGTACGACATCCCGTACGAAATCGAAATCCCTTACGAAATCCCATACGAAATCCCGTCCGAAATCTAAATCCCGTCCGAAATCTAAATCCCGTCCGAAATCCCGTCCAAAAACCAGTCCGAAATCCCTTCCGAAATCCCGTACGAAATCCTGTACGAAATCCAGTCCGAAATCCTGTACAAAATCGTAATCCCGTACGAAATCCCATACGAAATCGAAATCCCGTACGAAATCGAAATCCTGTACAAAATCCTGTACGAAATCCCGTACGAAATCGTAATCCCGTACGAAATCCCATACAAATCGAAATCCCGTACGAAATCGAAATCCCGTACGACATCCCGTACGAAATCGAAATCCCGTACGAAATCCCATACGAAATCCCGTCCGAAATCTAAATCCCGTCCGAAATCTAAATCCCGTCCGAAATCCCGTCCAAAAACCAGTCCGAAATCCCTTCCGAAATCCCGTACGAAATCCTGTACGAAATCCAGTCCGAAATCCTGTACAAAATCGTAATCCCGTACGAAATCCCATACGAAATCGAAATCCCGTACGAAATCGAAATCCTGTACGAAATCCTGTACGAAATCCCGTACGAAATCCCGTCCGAAATCCCGTCCGAAATCGCGTCCGAAATCCCGTCCGAAATCCCGTCCGAAATCCCGTCCGAAATCCCCGTACAAAATCGAAATCCCGTACGAAATCCCGTCCGAAATCTAAATCCCGTCCGATATCTAAATCCCGTCCGAAATCCCGTCCGAAAACCCGTCCGAAAACCCGTACGAAATCCCTTACGAAATCCCTCACGAAATCCTGTACGAAATCCAGTCCGAAATCCCGTACAAAATCTAAATCCCGTAAGAAATCCCGTACAAAATCCCGTACGAAATCGAAATCCCATCCGAAATCCTGTCCGAAATCCCGTCCGAAATCCCGTCCGAAATCCCGTACGAAATCCCGTACGAAATCCTGTACGAAATCCAGTCCGAAATCCAGTACAAAATCGAAATCCTGTACGAAATCCCGTCCGAAATCCCGTACGAAATCGAAATCCCATCCGAAATCCTGTCCGAAATCCCGTCCGAAATCCCGTCCGAAATCCCGTACGAAATCCCGTACGAAATCCCGTACGAAATCCTGTACGAAATCCAGTCCGAAATCCAGTACAAAATCGAAATCCTGTACGAAATCCCGTACGAAATCCCGTACGAAATCGAAATCCCGTACGAAATCCTGTACGAAATCGAAATCCCGTCCGAAAATCCCGTCCGAAATCCTGTCCGAGATCCAGTCCGAAATCGCGTCTGAAATCTCGTCCCAAATCCCGTCCGAAATCCCGTCCGAAATCCCGTCCGAAATCCCGTCCGAAATCCCGTCCGAAATCCCGTCCGAAATCCCGTCCGAAATCCTGTCCGAAATCCCGTCTAAAATCCCGTACAAAAATAGAATTCCCGTACGAAATCCCGTACGAAATCCCGTACGAAATCGAAATCCCGTCCGAAATCCCATCCGAAATCCCGTCCGAAATCCCGTCCGAAATCCCGCCCGAGATCCCGTCCGAATTCCCGTCCGAAATCCTGTACGAAATCCCGTACAAAATCCTGTACAAAATCCTGTCCGAAATCCCGTACGAAATCTAAATCCCGTACAAATTCCCGTACGAAATCGAAATCCCGTACGAAATCGAAATCCCATACGAAATCCCTTCCGAAATCCCGTCCGAAATCGCGTCCGAAATCCCGTACGAAATCTTGTCCGAAATCCCGTCCGAAATCCCGTACAAAATCGAAATCCCGTACGAAATCCCGTACGAAATCGAAATCCCGTCCGAAATCCCGTACGAAATCGAAATCCCGTACGAAATCCCGTATGAAATCGAAATCCCATCCGAAATCCTGTCCCGAAATCCCGTCCGAAATCCCGTCCGAAATCCCGTACGAAATCCCGTATGAAATCGAAATCCCATACGAATCCCGTCCGAATCTAATCCTGTCCGAAATCTAAATCCCGTCCGAAATCCCGTCCAAAAACCAGTCCGAAATCCCTTCCGAATTCCCGTACGAAATCCTGTACGAAATCCAGTCCGAAATACTGTACAAATCGAAATCCCGTACGAAATCGAATCCCGTACGAAATCGAAATCCCTCCGAAATCCCGTCCGAAATCCGCGTCCGAAATCTCGTCCGAAATCCCGTCCCGAAATCCCGTCCGAAATCCCGTACAAAATCGAAATCCTGTACGAAATCCCGTACGAATCGAAATCCCCGTACGAAATCCCGTACAAAATCGAAATCCTGTACGAAATCCAGGTCCGAAATCCCGTACAAAATCGAAATCCTGTACGAATCCCGTCCGAAATCCCGTACAAAAATCGAATCCCGTACAACATCCCGTACGAATCGAAATCCCCGTACGAAATTCCCGTAGGAAATCGAAATCCCGTCCGAAATCCAATACCGAAATTCCGTCCGAATCCCATCCGAAATCCTGTCCGAAATCCCGTCCGAAATCCCTTCTGAAATCCCGTACGAAATCCCGTACGAATCCCGTACGAAATCCTGGTACGAAATCCAGTCCGAAATACTGTACAAAATACGAATCCCGTACGAAATCGAA